CCCCAAAACCCCAAAACCCCAAAACCCCATAATATTTTTTTAGTAATGTTTGGAAATTGTAGCGGCAATTATAATTAATTTTTTGCGGAAGAAATGGGAAGAGGTAGACCACCTGGCTCAAAAAATAAAGCCACTATCAATAAAGTAAATGATAATTAACAACTACAGCAGATTAAGTAATAGCAATAACCTTAAAAATCCACTGATTAAAATGAAAAGCAATAGTAAGATTAATAGTAGCAAGTCTAGAAAAAGAGAGGGAGACATCCCAATCCTTAGAAGCATTTAGAACATCTAAAGAAAGTCTATTAATCTCAGATAACTCAAGTGTACACTGAGCTAGCAAAGACGTGCCTTGGTAATACACAACTATACAATCTATACGGTATTGTGATTGATGCAACAATGCCACATTTGAAGGAAAATGAAACCAATAACTATCGTAGATATAAGTAACATGTTAAGATAATCGACCCAACTGTACATTTCAGAAGACCCAAAGAAAGTGGAGATACTACTAATGTTTGCATATCTGTTACATTCTTTGGTAGTTCAATAGAGTAGCTTCCAGTATTCAAGCGAATTGGGGATATTATCAGGATACATAGATGTAATATTGCTTAATTTAAGGAGAGAAAGACATTTTCAGTGATAATCAATTTCGGTTCGCATTGGGTTATTTTCGATGGTAGAGACAAGAAAGCAATACTCAAGGATTAAAAAGCATTAGAAGAAAATAAAGGAGAAGATGAGCCAGATGAAGAATCAAAAGCCAAATAAAACTAACAAAAAACTGAGCAATTGTAATAATCTGCCAGTAAAAAACCAGAGCAGACTATCAAAGATTTCTTTGGAATGGGAGACACAAAGCCATAACCATGCAATAAGATCGAAATTATTCCTTAGTAATAACTATCGCAGGCATCTGTTTAGAGCTTAGTAGGTGAAGATCAAGAGGTCTAAAGTCATTATCTACCTCTTAAACTTTCCAGCAAGGATTACACAATGACTCTTTAGGATAGAGATATCATTAAAAGATATCGTGAGTGGTCAAAGGAATATTTCTTGAATGAATTCCTCTATGAGAGTTAATTGTATATAACACTTTCGAAGGTTAGAGATATCATTAGCAATGAAATGATAAGCGGGAATAAAAATGATTCAATCACAAGTTTTGACCTAAGTAAACTCTTTAATAGTCATATTGATATTTTTAGTTGTCTAAGTTGAGCAGATCGATGAACTAGGACCATTAGAAAATGGAGATATGAAGTTAATGATTCGAATCAGTGATTAAACCAGCGGGTAATATATTCATCTAAATCTAATTAAGTTTAATGTAGGGATTTTTAACTTTTTACTAATTCATAAATGATACCTAAAATACTCAAAGTAGGAGACATTGTTAGAATAAAAGCAGCCTTTCCATTATAAAAGTAATTATCATTTTATTCATAATGATTTATTAGCGAAAAGAGAAAAAATATTTTGCAAACAAAAGACAGTAGTAATATAATGTTAATAGAAAGTTCATTCAAATAAGCTTAGTAGTTCCTAAAGCAAATGGAAACTACTGATCATGATTTGACTCCTGCTATCCTTGGAGAAGTTTAGCATCATCATAATGAATATTCACATTTGCAGTAACATTTTGAGGAGGTCTTAGAAAAACCAGAGATAGCTTCATCCGTTGGATCTCTCTATCTGAATATGCAATCAGAAGAATTGTCTGATATCTTACAAAGTGAACAATATGCCAATGGGACATAGATTGAAAGATTGTCAAGAGTCTAATTCTACGTTCTAAATATTTAACCTCTAAACTTATTTGAAGTTTCTAGGGTTTATTGTCCGAAATGCTATTCTGACTACTCTTATAAAGATTTCAATGGATAAAGTGATGTTCATAGTATGGAATGCCCTCAATGTCATTATAACCATTTAGAAGCCATCTATAAAATCTAGTTTTAAGTGAAAGATAAATCTTTATATCATTTGAAAGGTGCTATGAAAATGATACTTTACACCATGGACGGTATTTGCAATAAATTCTTTAATGGAATTGAGCCTTGCAATTTTTATAGAGAGCAGACAGCCAGAAATTAGGTTGAAAAGCATTTGAGATATATTGTGAGATTTAATGTGTTCTTGGATGCTATTGTCGAGACGAAATATGTTCAGAATGAAATTGTGCTCAAACTCATAAGTTGCAAACTCAAGAATATTTGAATAAAATAGTATTTCTGATTATATGGAGAGATAGTAATATCACAAGATTGTATTTGTTATGTTCTTAATTTAATAAGACAATGATGAATAAACAATTTTTCACATCATGGGGTTTTGGGGTTTTGGGG